AAGGCATTAATCTCTATTGGCATATATTATTATGCCATAGTATTGGATAGTAGTATAGAACTTTGCACTATAAATTATGTTTTATGATTTTTGAAATCTATAGCATTGATTCTCTCTGCAATCCTAATTGCCTCTTCAAATGTTTATAGATCTTTTACTTATACCTCTCATTGGATCATATGTTTCAATCCTTGAATAAATAAATCCATCATCTTTGCTTCTATAACATTTTCAATTTGAAAATATAGAAATTTGAATTGTAAGACATAATCTAGTACTAATGTGGATTGTGTAAGATAAACCAACTAATTATATGCTATTTTCTTTGCATTGACCAAAATTATTTCTTAATCTTAGTCTCAAACTCCTCCTTGTCACAAAATCCACCTTAAGTTTTATAACTTTGACCTTGATGTTGCTACCAAATGACTACTACATCTTTCAAATAGCTAGAAATATAAGTAATTCATTCAATGGTAGTTTCTCCTAGATAATTAAAGGTATTGTCACATGGTAAAGAGCCATTGGCATACATCTTCTTGTTTTGAAATCCCAAAGTATATATCGGACTTATTTAATTTCAATCTAACAAATATTAATTCTATTGTACTAAATGCTTCCATTTGTCCTTGCAAAGTAGCTATCTCACATAGAAAGTATTGTATCTAAGTCTCCATCTAGAATTGCTTTGCCATATCTTCTATGCTGCAATTTTCTTACTGAACTTTGCTATTGTAATGCCTTTTCTTCTTCCAGGTGACTTCTTAAGAGTAGCTTGTGGTAATCCCAAAATAACACCTGATGAGACAATAATAACTAATCTTCAACTAAATGGTTGCTATTAATATACTACTAAAGAACAAACTAACACTTGCTTTGATACCAATGAAATGGGACTGGATTATCTCTAAAATCTAAGACCTTTCCAATTTATAGCAATATAAATTCCATTATAACATAGGATAGCATAGACCAGAACAAAACTAAATCAAGTTAAATAGAATAGAACATGAAAGATAAAATGGATAAAAATAAATAATAAATAAATAAATAAATAAACAAAAAAATGAATGACCAAACTTTACTAAGATAATGGAAGCAAAGCCATACTTGATCAGATACTCAAATGGCCCTAGTTAGTCCTATTTATACTTTGTCCAACTATCTTAGAACTTTTTAGAATATTCTAAATAGTGGACTCTATCTAAATAATTATTGTAAGTCATTTTTAGAATGTTCTATAGTGGATCCTACATAGACCACCAACTTAGCCTCAATTCTAGAAACTTCAAGAAATTTCTCAAATATGGCTCCAACTACCTATTTCTATGCGTCAATAATGCAAATATCTTATCCATACTCCATTACAACAAGAATATGACATTAAGATAGAGCATAAGATAGAGTTGGTAGATATGGATGTTGATGGATTAAGTAAGAACTTATGCCCAAGTTAAATAGATTCTACAAGAGTCAAGTAATATGTTTAAAAGGATGAAAAATACATACTTGAATGGCATCAATCCTTGTATCTTAGTTTATTAGCAATAAATGGAGACTCATTGAAAAGTGCTTCTATTAAAATAGGAAGAGAAGAATTTGAAGGTGCCAAAGATATTTTTGATAATAGACCAATTTTGGATTATTTAAAGAATAGAGAATTATCATTAGAAGTATTTTTTTTAAAAAAAGAAATAAGATTATATAAGTCAAATGATTTGAATTGGAAGAATCTCATTTATTTTAAAAAACATCACATAGAAAGAAACATGTGGTATTAAGGCTATAAAAATGTGAGAAGCTAATACTTCTCATTTATAAAGAATTGAAATATTTTGAAAGAAAAAAAAAAAAAAAAAAAAAAAAAAAAAAAACCTTACAATCTTTTACAAAGTCAATATTGGTGGATTAATATGTAGGAAGAAACACAACATGTTATTTTAGGGTGACAATTCTATAACATGGTCCATGCTTCATTTAATGCACCAATACCTATTTTATAACCTTTACCTATTATAAATCTAAGATATTGATGGAGTTTGAATTTTAAAGGACCATTACCAATTACTAAAAAGCATAACAAATACATATTAGTGATGATTGAATACTTCTCTAAATGGATAGAATTAGAAGAGTTGCTTGATAAATTTAACAAAAGAACAACTTAAGTTTTTTTCAATCAAATTTTAAGTTGATTTGAAGTATCAATTGATGTTTAATAAAGATAAAGAATTCTAAAGTAAGTTTTAAGCTTTATTAGAATAGGCATATATTGATTATAGGACCACATCATGAGATCATTCTAAAGTAGATGGTTTGGTAGAATGCATGGTCCAGACTATCAAGAAGATACTTATGAAATATAGACTACAAAAAGGATATCATGGATATTGAAACTTATAATTATCTTGATTGACTATAGACTATAAGTTTAGTCAACAAGCTTTTCTAGCCATATTTTTTTATTACTATCTTTTGTATAGATGAAAACCAATATTACCAGCATTAAATATGATATATATGCAATGGTAAAAATGGATGATCTTAATATGTAGATAAAGGTGTATAATGCATGAATAAAGTTGTTAGAACACATTATGCCAATAACATTGAATAATCTTGCTATTGCCAAATATTGTGATACCTTAAAATATGCTATCATTAAAAAAATAAGGCTATAGATCACAACTATAGTAGTTTGTACTAGATGATTATATTTACTTGCACCTAACTGCAACAACTACATTGAATATGATAGCAGGTCCAGTTATTCTAAAGATTAAGAAAATACTTTCAAGTAGTTTGTTAGAATTGAAAGATCTTGATGGACAAATTTTATAGTGTTTATATGTGGATTAATTTATTATATTTGTTGTGGATTTTTTATTCTCTATTGGAATTTTTTCTACTTATTTATTAATAAAAGAGGTATAACTAGCCTTAGATTTCCTAAAAAATTATGTATACTTGGAGCTACTTTTATTTTTCATTTTAATGATGAATATGTGTGATTGTTCCATCTATTTTTTCATTACAACAAGATTGAGATATAACTCAAACCAAGCTTGAATTAGTGTTATATGGCATGTTTATCAACACTACCACTTTCACATTGGAGATATGTATTTATTGTTGTGAATATGCTAGTGCAAGGATAATTTAGATAGATTTCAAACCACACAATATGATATGCAAACAATGTATTGATACACGATACCTAATCTATAGTGATTTTATATGGTTCTTTGTGCAAAAGCACTTCTACATAACTTTTAAAAAATTCTAAGAGAAAAAATTCACTTAGAATGTATTGAGTTGAATTTAGATATTTATTTTAGTAATATAAGTCATAAGAAACAATAATCCCATGTTTTCATTTATATCCATTAATAAGTTAAAACTAATAACTACTGTAATAATATCATTGTTTAATAATCCATGTAATCTTTACATTTCCCTTAATACACTCTATGTATATTGTCATTGTAATATGTATCATTGCTACTAAACTCAAAATCCTATAAACAAATAAATAAATAAATAAACATTTCTTTACTTTAAAAAAGTTGTTAGTTCCTAAACTTCCTTCAAACTAAGTTATTATTGTAGGGCCCAACAACAACCACATTGATAGTGAGTCACTATTATTATTACATCCAAAATATTAAATTATAAACTTTGTTTCAAAGATATATGTAGATAAAGAGTTATTAAAATCACACTCTAATGTTGTTAAAGCCACATCCTACATTATCATCTCATGATCAATTCCATCCATCTATATCTCCATCTCTTATTCCATATTCCTTGTCCTCCATTTCCAACTCATATCTCTCATTTCCTATCTCCATTCTTCATTCCATTTTTCCCAAAATTAATCATCACTTATATTTTCCATTTCCTATCTCCATTCTTCATTCCATTTTTTCCAAAATTAATCATCACATAGTTTGGGAGGTGTGGCTTTAATAACTTCATATATATATATATATATATATATATATATATAACAATTAAAAAAAACATATCAAATCCATTTATAAAGTAATAATAATAAGTTTGCAAATATCCATTGATATAACAAATAACTAAGAAACATCTGATAATCCTAATTTATATTTGCTACAAAATTATTAAGTTCTATATCTAACTTGCATTATTGGGATGATCTGAAGGATTGTTCTTTGTTCTAATTACTTTTTCTGGGTAGCAACTTTTAATTTCCTCAAAAAATTAAAGGCTATTGCGGAACTCAAAAAGGATTAATTACAAGACATTCGATAGTATTTCTTTGGAGGTGATTAAAAAGTAAAAAGACTTGAAGGGAATCTCACAAAATCTACTCAATTGATTGAACCAACCCTGAAATTTAAGATACAATCAACATTGAATACAACTGATATCATGTATTTAACTAATGCAGTTTACATTGACAATGGAAAAATAAATCGTCTTTCAAGTTCGGTGATCCAAACAATGACAAAAGAAACAGCTCGGTTGGATGTATATGACTAAAGATTACCAGGTTTGATACATGACTTTGAAAATACTCTTTGGAATGTATTGAATTAAGTTATTCTAAACAATATTCTTGGCTACACTATTTTCTAACATGTTACATCCCATGTTTTAAGTCCAAGTTTTCACCACATTGGACTTAGATTGCCCTTTGTACAGTACTAATATTCCTATCAATCGAGATAGCAGGTCATTAATGATGCTTCATTAATAACAATTGTACTGACCCAGATTAAAATAAAAGTGAATCTGAAATAAACTGATGCACATACTGGACGAAATTATCTTATCAATCTTAACAAGCCAATTTTACAACCATCTTGACAAGTCACCCCACCTGACTTTCACTTTGGCAGATTTACCTCAGAAAAACAATATTGAATAGAAACGGTTTAACAAATACAGGGTAACTAAGCTTTGGATCACTTAGCAACAAGAAAAAATGTGCTGGCCGACAGCATCAACATCACGTAAGCAATCGGTACATAATATGTTACATAGATATACATGAAAGCTTGACAAGTGAGCGATAAACACTAGGCAGAAGGTCAGAACATCAAATCAAGGAACGGTGCAGAAGACAGTAAGATGATTATAGCACAGAAAAGTCCAAGCTCTGTGTCAGCTTGACCCCTAGTTTCATCTTCATCTCTCATCTCATCTCTTAAACAGGAGAATATTACAATGTTACAACGACCAACAACAAGTTGAAACTGCGTCTTATGAAACAGTAACCGGTACTGAAGTCTTTCATTTTCGCGACTCTGTATGCTACGCTGGGTAGGAGAAAATACTGACTTGCTTTTTCTCTATCTTTTTCTTTTCCTTTTTCGTTGTCCCCCCTTCATGTAAAGCATCGCTCAAGATGCACGGAGGTAATCCACAAAGCACGTTCCTGCTGTAAGTCCCATGTTCTTATAAAGTTTGTACAAGGAGCACAGGCAATAGGAGCTCAAAAATGGAAATGCATGCTTGCCTTCTTGTCCAGTGGGGTTGAAGAGAAAATATGAAAAGGGGTTCGCATGGTTCAAGAAGCATTCTTAGCCATTATGGAAGGTGGGAAGCCCCTGCAGAATGAACTTTCTGGCGTTCCTCGACCCAGGTGGAGAGGCCAGGGAATTATTGCCACCGTCACCAGGAGACGAACCATCCCGCTCCTTGTTTCGTCCTTTACGGGGTGGGGTCACACGTTTCTGCTTTGGAGAGCCTGATTTCGTCACAGCACTTCGGCTTGGGGAGCTGTCACGAGTCTCATCTGCGTACTTCATGAACTCCGGGGTGCCATCATCGTCGGCGGCGCTCACCTTCGCCAACTCTAGTTCACTTTGGAGGTTCTTTCCCGAAAGTAGCTGGGAGGATTGCATTGTGGGCGTGGGTGGTGCTGAATGGGTCTGGTCGATGCAGGACAGCTGGGATTGACGTGGCGTGTCGAATCGAAGCGGCGATCGAGGGGCGGGGTGCCTGAATCTCGGAGAGTGAGGTGACCAATGCCTGGCAACAAAGAACGGTTTAATGTAAACAAAAGAATTCACATAGCAAGAAGTAGAATAACTTTTATTTATAAACTGAAATAAAAGGAAACTCATCAAAAGAACTACAAAAGAGACCTCGAAGAAGTGTGCCGTTGATGCACATTCGTTGAAGAGGCAGCTTGGTACGGGGACTCAGTCATATGACTTCTAAATGCAGGCGAGGCACCAGGTCGCTCCGTTGTTACACACGATGAGCCAGGTGTTAGGCGCAAAGGGGCCAGAGTCTGCATGGGAGTGAGGGTGCAGAGATCACCCAGACCTTCCCAGCTAGGGGAGAGATGACCCATTCGCGCAAATGTAGGGGTTGTTATGGGAGAGTCCCCAGCTCCGCTCATAGAAAATTCAGTATCACTATGGCCCTGATAGGGAGGCACTAAATGGAAGGTATCAAGCGCATGAGAGAATCTGGTCGGGGAGTTGGGAGGTCTTGATACAGGCTGAGATAAGAGTGAGCGACAAGGTTTATCTGAGGAATCAGCTCGCTTGCGCAATGAAGTTCTCAATCTGTGTATGGGCCGTCCAAGACTGCAGGAGCAACACGGCATCATATTAGCGACAATGACTTAAATCCACATAGAATTAGTAAAAGGGACAAACGTGGGAAGAGGCGTACAACTAGGTATAACAGAGAAAGGAAGACTTGGAAGCTGCCCCTTCAAGATTCATTTTCATACCTGTCGTACTCAAAGGTCGGAGTGATGGGAGACAGGTTCTGATTTGAGGAGCTGTCACACAACCTATCAGATTTTCCACTCATTCTATTGAGGAACTCGATTGGGTCCTCAACCTGAGAATCCTCCCGCGTGGAAAGGGCCTGTTCTCCGCCCTTCTCATCTCCCTCTGGCCCTGTATTGCAATAAATATGAAACAAAGAACGTGTCACACTACCGCTATCCACGAGATGAACGTCCTAGCATACTGTATTTCATTTCAAATATTGATTCAGAGGTGATTTCAGTACAGTTATGAACAGCCCGCCAGAATACAAGAAATAGCAGTCGGTATCAAAACACAGACCTTCCTTCTTGCCGTACTTATTCATGCAACCTTCACATCGACATCCTTCAGAACACCCAACACCAGCCTGTCCACCACAACAGCAATCCGTTACATCCTGAAAAAATCCAGAGTAATTACTTCGCAACAGAAAGAAACACATACCCACGCGAAGGCCCAGCTTTCTCTGCGTACCTGGTAACATTCACAGTACTTTTTGAGACATAGAGATTTTTTGCAATTGCAGCCACGCTTGTGTCTGGCAGAGGCTGGAGTGTCTAGAGCCTCATCCTGCACAACCAGTTGGACGCATGCCTCAGCTGCGGGCAAAGCTTGGAAGGCCATGAATATGCATAAGATTGGCATCCTGAAATTGTAAGGTAAAATGTGCTAGGTTTGAACTTACCCCAGGCACTGGAGAGGGTTCCGCACCCTGAACAATTTTGGGGGCAAATGCTAAAGGATTACGGGATTCAATTTGTTGCCTAGTGTTAATGACTGTCTCAATGTACTCAGGCTTGTTGAAACAATCCCGGCAAGCACATGAACCCACGCAGTAGACACCCAAAGCAAAGCATTCACAGTACCTGCCATACGAAATCCAGTACCAAATGAAATTCGTTATGTCAAATAGACCAGGAAGCTTAGCAGAAACCACCACCAGTTAACTGTAACTATGTGTACGTTATCTTCTATCTATGTAGTATGAAAGGGCAGCAATGCGGTTCAAAGCGAGAAGAAAAAGAAGGAAAATCTTACAATTTTAGACACTTGGACTTTTTGCAGTTACACCTCTTGCACCCACCTCCTGATTTTTCGCTCTGAGAGGACTCGGTGAATTTCCGCCTGGACAGCCTGAAACATAAGGTCACATGAGATCTCCCCGAGTTCCCCAATTCTATCATACTACATAGATAGAAAATAACGTACACAGACAAATTCTCACAGCGAGGGGAAACGATACCCAGTCAGTGTGAAACTCACCGTCTTCGTTTCGAGCTTTGCGGGCTGCCCAAAAGTTCTTCAACAGCTTCACCATCCGGTCGTGGTATCAACTCTTGTTGATGAGGTGGAGATCGTTTGAGACCTCGAGGACTAACAAGACGCGGCAAATTAGTTCCTGGAGTCAATGAGAATGATTCTTCAAGCGGTGGCAGATTCTCAATATTGAGAGCGCTGAAATCTGGGGCTGGAACGTTAACTTTCTTAATGCTAATGAGGGGCAATGCAGTATCAGCACCATTTAACTCCGTCAGAGTCCTCCTCTCTAATAAAGATGGAACTTGAGTGTGGTAATCAGGTTTGTTCGTCAACCCTTGGATAGAATTTTCAGCAGCATGTTTATCAACTCCTGGATTAAGATTTTGATTGATATTCGCAGCAAGACCTGTGCTTCCTGGCCCTTCAACACATGAATCTTCCCTAGGACTTGAAGAGGCCTGAAATTGTAAACCTAAAACGGTAGCCAGGACTCCTTTGGAGCTTTCTCCTCCAGCAGACGAAAAATCCCGTTTGAAGGAGACGGTGCTAGTCAGAGAATTCAAGTGAAGCCCAATTCCAGACGATCGATTGCGAGGACTCCGTCTCAGGCCTTCTGATACATTACCCCCATGTGTCGCTCCAGGATTCTGAGACTTCCGATTCTGTGCTTCCCCTGCCTTGACATTCAGCACATCCATGCTTTTCTGAAATGAACAGCTTGGGAGGGGCACCATAGCCGTAGCTTCAAATGTGTCCGCACGTGCTGGGATCCCTGATCTCACAAAAAAATTGGACATGCTTAAAGAAACCAGATTGACAGAGAGGACCTACTTGACTGGACACTGAAATGCATTCAGGCTAGTAACTCTACTAGACAGAATACAATCTTCAACTGCTACGTGATACGAATCGCATTTAGACATTAATGCAATACTTAAGCGGCCAGTGCCTAGACATCAATCTCATGAACGTAAAAAGCCAAACACCTGCTTAAATCCCTTCAAATTGTTATCCATACACCGCATTGATGTATTATATCCTGTTGCACTTGGACTTCGAAACTCACCCCTGGAATCTGTGCCAGAATCTCGTTCCACTGTAGTAGAATCTTTAGAATTCGAAAAATCGTTCCCAGACGAGAGGAGTCGGGTTGTTGCATCTGAAGTTGCAACTTTCGCAAAACCAGAAGATAGGCTGTTGTCATCAGCAATACTGCTTCCACTACAATCTTTAAGCCTACTACCTAAAGATTTCCTTCCTCCCATGCTGCCAAGGCTTTTTCTCCTCGCTACGGAAGCGTCAAAGTCAAGACACCGTCTTCTGAAGCCCCGCTGTCCGGCGTTATCCACCTGCAAATATTGCATTAGCGAGTCAGATAAGAGCCACAAACAGTTAAACGCTGAGGAATTTGGACCGAGTTACAGATCACCGAAGACACAGAAACGAAAGACATTAACTAAAGTACGACGAAGATAATGACTATCTTTTGACTAAGCCAAGAGTCGACGAGACACAGAATGCTACAGCTTACTAGAGAACACTTATCGAGAGGTCCTAATTCAAGCACCAGACATGAAAATAGTAAAACATAAATGGACACATGAAATGGAATAAAATCCAACACACCTTGTGAGAAAGAACAGATTGCTGGTTGCTAGCATTATCAGTCGTTGAAATCAAGCCTGTGTCGTGTCCATCCTCAGTTGAAGTAATAAGTCCAGACTGAGGAGTAATTGCATCAAGCATTTGTTTTTCCTGTTTCACGGCCCTTTCATTGATCATGTCAGACGGTTTCTCAGAGTATCCAGGTGTAGGTCGCACTGGCAACCTGGGCACAACGACCTCACTTGAATCCTCTGACCACTCTTCGACGTTGTCCTGTCCTAAATCTTGGTTTCCAGCAAGAAAATATGCCATGGCTGTAGTCTCACGGTCAAGTTCAGGACTACCTTTAGCATCAGGACTGAAGTTCAATCCATTGCCCTCAACGTGAGAACTGGATGCCATAGATACGCGCCTGTGGTCGTTCTGTTCCGGGCATTTCGACTCTTGGCTTGAAAGTATGCAGTCGATCGCATGTGGCATTAAGCTAGAAGCAGATTGACTCCTATCTATCGCAAAATTGTGCTGGCTCCCTGCTCCATCTAACAGATCACCTTTTCCGTTTATACACCTAACCATCTCAGAGGGCATCGCTGCAGACACGGCAAGGTCTAATTGCTGGTGATCATTATACTGGGATTGGAAGCTGGCAGTGGTACCCGCTATTCTAGCCATCACACCGGAGGTAGATCCCCGATTCGAATGTGCTGGATTCCCAGATATCCGTTGCCCACCAAGATTTTCGGCCACGTATACGTCAGTGCCTAATCCTTCGGTTCTTACGCTTTCAGGTTGCGACTTATGAACTTCCTCTGTTTGCCTTCTTGAACAAGGAGTTACTTGATTATCATCGGAACGTCGGTTCAGTGGAGATGGTGATGGTCCATTATCAGAAAGCGTGCTTCTGGAGAATGTGGGAGTTTGATGCCACCCAAAAGTTTCTCGACCTTCAGCTGGGGCTTGTGCTGACAAACTTTCGGCAGCAACGAACCTATTCAATGATCATGTGTGAACTGGTGTAGTGGAGAAATAAATCGGAAACACATACAGCTTAAGAGACCCTCAAAATCCCGGACACCTATCCAACTTCAAGAATGTAAAACAAAGATCGGTTACATCACAATTTTTTCTCGAAAAGGGCATCGCCCGCACCTCTTCAGAGAACTCGTCGAGGACCTTCTAGCACTGCGTGGAGAAGCAAAGATTCGGTGTTCTTGTGGAAATGTCATTTCGTTGTATGTCTGGGCATGATGCACCGACTTCGCTGGCTGGATTGGCGACAATTCACACAAGTACTTGAACAGAGGAGAATCCTGCACAGTCAACTCTACTAGACTAAGACAGTGCGTTCTGTGAACACAATTAAGTTGTATGTGCATTACCCAGGTATCAGGCACGATGTGTATGGCATTGACATATGGAGTAGCTGCGCACTACAAATGATGATTACTCGCAAGGGCAGTGCAACATGTGCCACACTTATCCATAGCCAAGAGCTTGTGCGTTTGATTAAAGACAGTTATGGCATTCACAGAAATGGCGATCGGACAGTCGCCCCCAGAGTGAAATTCGTTTCGGATCATCACATTTATGTGCTAAAAGGTACCAAGAGGGCCCAAAAGAAAGTTCAGCAAGAAGAGCCATGTCCTTCGAACGTACCCTAGAAGTTATATTCCTGGCGTGGCCCGGAAGAATCAACAATTACAGTGGTAACCTATTTACGAGAGTTGGAGAGAAAATTGCACACACCTGCATGTTTGTAACGGGCGGGATGGGCTCTCGACGGGCAGGTGAACCCATTTCGGGACCACTATCTGACCCCCTATCCACCTTCTCGGCCGCCATTTTGCTACCCCTGGTCATCATTATCACCTGCTTGGGGCTGGAATTGCAAAAACGGAAAATTAGGAGGAAATGTACAGTCACACAATCGATGCTATTCTGAGCTGCTCCAGTGTCTCCTGCACAAGCCTTGAACTGCTGGTCACATCGGAGCTAAGACTTCGTCTACCGCATCGCGTCGTTCTTCATAGACTATCAAATACCACAATTGAGCACCGCCGACCTCCCTTTTGTGCCAAGAACCGGCAATGGGGTGTTCATATTGGATTACATCCAACACACCATTCAAGTCACAGCCCATCTAGAAAACCTTCCACATCACTTCATTCCAGCTCCAGACATTTCCAAGAACCCTTTACAATGTGCGCACAATTCGCAAATCTGAAACAACACCCACTGACCTTCGATACGCCTCTTATCGAAATTTAACGCGCTCTCTCAAACCCTTCCACTGCACTCACTCAAAAACAGGGCACACAGGGAAAACCCGGGCTACGGAACACTCGCTACCACTCTTGTGCACATTCAAAGAAGGGGCCGGAAAAAAAAAAAAAAAAAAAAAAAAAAAAAAAAAAAATCCATCCACAGAACCCGCTCTCCAAATCCACGAGATTAAACCCCACCCCACCTCACCAAAACTATCAACAACGCGCGAACTCCGGGGCCACATTCAGCGTAAGAGACAAACACCCCGTTCACCATTACGGGAGACTATCTAGGGCGAGAGGGCCATCTCGCGCAGCGGCAACCTATCAACAAGTGACGAAGTCGAGAGGAGAAGGGACAGAGCCGAGGCAGCGAGAACAGGACCCAGCCTGTTTCAGGCAATGGCGTGTGAGTGGGACAGGGGGAGGTTAAGCAGCCATGGCACTCCCTCCCCCAAGCTCCTCGTCGCCATGATCCAACACCTCGCAGTCGACAACACCATGACCCGGTGAGCCACTTCGTCTGTCTCGCTGCCCTCTCTCTCTAGCTCTCTTTCTCTCCTCGTCTCGCTCCTCACACCACCCCCTCACCTCCTCCTCCCCCTCTCCTCTCGTCTTCTCGTCTTCAACACCTGTACTCCATAATTATCCAGGTGATGATCCAATTTACTGCGGGGCTGGGTAGAAGAAGAGATTGCAGAGACTGGGCAAGCGGGGGCAAGATTGCGGAATGAATATTTTACATGGCTCGTCATGGCTGTCAGAAGCTCAGAGAGGCAGGAAGGCCTCGCTCACTTCCTCTTTCTACTTCGCCCCCAAGGCCGTGACTCCAGCAGTTTGGACCTTCCCCGCGCGGGAACTTTCTTTCCTCCCCGAGTCTGCCCTTGACCGCCCGGGTGGGCTTTTGCACGGGTCTGCCCGTGGCCCTCACCCCCCCCCCCTCCCAAGCTCCAGATATCAAATAGTTAAAAGTTGACATCGGGTTATAATTCTATCCATTAGTTTCGAAACTCACTTCACATCCAACAGCCTCATTCCTCATCTGCTGATAGAAGCTGAACAACCCCTAAATATTCCTGCGCTCAGTGTTCTCATTTTGATCCAAAATGGAGGTGAAGCCCACGTGGAAAAGCTAAAAGGTAACGGGTCGGTGGATGATGACTGCCCACAGACGGGGTGGGGAGGGGAGGAGTTGGGAAGATATTGGGGAGAGAAAAGCGACGCCTACAGAGGAGGTGAGAAAAAGGATGATGTTGCTGGTGCTAGCCGGGTGAAAGGAGTTGCCGCAAAGTTAGAGCTACTATGGAGGCAGAGAGCGGAATGATGCCCAGCATCACTGCTGCTAGTGAGGAAATTTAGGGGGCGCCTTTGCCTACCACCCGTTTCCTCCTCATATTGCTGGTGAGCTTTGGACAACCACTGCACGATTAAGGCACCTCTAAATTTACCTCTATGTTTGCCTCTAAACTCATTGCGGAACTTGGAGGCACTGAGAAGGAGTTTCTTGCAAGAACTCTCTTCTTGTCAAATCCCTTCTTCTTTTTTCTTCTTCTTCTTGGTCACAAACTAAATGATGAGCATTAGGCTACTTAACTCTCAGTGTGTTCTAGGGTTTTAAATGTGCACAGCAGGAGAATGACAGGTCCTGTCACTAAAGTAAGTCCTTACGGAGGGCACTTGAATGTTGACTCAGAAATGCCACATCACCTATCGCTGACAGGTGGCATACGACGAGAGCCCATGCTCAGAGATCCAAATCCCCATTGATGATGTGTCGATGACAAATCCTTTGCCACGCCTAAAAGCATTGCCACGTAGGCCAATCGCAAAGTAGGCTCATGGATGGATGGATGGATGGATGGATGGATGATCACATATGGATGAATGGATGAATGCCATTTGTACAACGGCCAGCTTGAATTGAAGTGAAGCCCCACCATTGTCCCCTTCATCCCCTCAAGTGGTGTGCTTTTAAGGAAGGGCACGTAAGGATCACATTCTGTGGTGGAAATCTCATCATAGTTACGGTCGTTCTTTTCGTTAGAACAATGGCCACTGGGAGCAGTAGTACCACCCACTCCTACTCTCCTCCTCGGCTTCTCCTTTCCTCCTAATTTCTGTTATTGCTTGAGCTCATTAGTAGGGCTGCCCCCGATAGACGGACTGGCAGGTAGACAGACATACATACAGAAACATAAACGAACAAGCCTAACCAACCTTCACCCCGGTCAAACGCCAACCATTTCCATCGACTCATCCGTCGCGAATTAAATCAAGTGGAAGGGTACTGATGAATGTCATCTACGGTGTGTTGCGAGAACACGGAGAAGCTGGGTGGTGGATGCATGAGGATGTGGAGTGAGTAAATGAGACTAAGCTATCCGTTTCTCTGGGTGGTACCAAACGTTGCCGTGTGGGGCGTGGTAATGCAAGCGCATTTTTTATTTTGGAGTGGCGAACTAAATGCACTCATTATGCCCACGGAATTCAGCCCAACGTCTCTTTCTCTTTTCATGAGGACATGCCTCTTCTCCCATGTCTGCGTGGTTCGACGTTAACGGGGGTTCTGCGACCGTCCAGGTCCATCCCGATATGACCGTGGTGTGTGGTCCCGTCTTGTATTTGTGGGAGGAGTCTTCGTGTCTCTGGGTTCAGGATCCGCTTCTATTTGTGATGATGAGAGTGTTGTCAACACAAACTTTACCCTTTTTATACTATGCATATCTACTTTAAGTAGTTTTAGTGTTGGAACATCTGTTTCCTTATTTGTCCAAATCCACTCCAGCTTTGTCTAACCCACGCATTTGTTGAACTGATGTATATCAACTATTGTTTTTTATTTGTCCATAGTTACTGCTGTTGTTTAGTTATTGATGTTGTTAAATTATTGTATTTTATTGAATTGTGATTGTTATTACGATTGCTGTTGTTCTTATACTCACTGCAGATTTACAAAATGGTAAACTAATAGTTTTAAATGTTAAAAAAATACATTATATAACTATGCTCAAATATTGCTATCTCTTGGCTTCGTAGGATTATTGATCGTCAGTTTTTTAATTTCAATATCAATTGAGATGTTAATGTGGTATTCTGGAAGTTGATCTGGGACATGCTTCTAAAAGCTTTGACTTCACAATCAGTAATATTTCTAAAATCGATAAGCATAGTTTTATTATTATTATTATTATTATTATTATTTAAGCTTTAAATCAAATCTCTTTGTACATCAATAATCAAATAACCAATCATGTGAGAAAATCATTCAAACTATGTACCAAAAATGTATACCATTTAAAATAAAACTAAATGTTACTCAAGCTCTTGGGGTAACAAGCAAGCACGAGAAGAAACTTTGTAAAATGTCAAGAATTAATAGCACACACACCAATTCAGTAATGAATTTTGTTTATTGCACACACTTTGAAAATACATGGCCTCCAATTTGGTACTATTCTACTCCAAGTTTGACTGTGTCAGCCACCATCATATTTTTTGCACTAGTTCACAATTGCCTATTGCAGTAACTACCCACTTTTTAAGTAATCTACCTTCCTAGCCCACACTCAAGATGCGTCTCCATGCTTAGTGGTGGAACTGTGACCGTCTTTCTTATCTACTCCCAATCATTGTTCTCAAATCTTTAGCTAACCTTGTGTCATTGGATTTATTTGTTATGGCAAATAATGCTAAGTGAATTATTTTACTTAGACATGGTGGAACTTCACACCAATATATACTGCATCTTTGCCATCTTATTCCACCAACCTATTACTATATTAGCTAAATTGAAGTGGTTGTTAAGTAGCAACCTCTTTTTGTAGTTAACATAGAAAAGTATAAGGTGGTTAGATATATAATTTCATTTCTATACATATGCATACACACACATTTATGTATGTGTGTAGATATGTTAATAAGTCGTGTTCTTTCAGCATAATCTCAAGAATCCTACATTGTTATAAGAAATAGAACTTGTAGTTTGGTTGAAAACACCATAAAATTTTATTAAAAAAATTTAATGTATTCTAATTTCTTGAATTGATCATAAAGCAATAACTTTCAAATTTGTCAAACATCTCACAAAAGCAGCTAATGAATTACGATGTACATATTGTTGTATTCATTTATCTTTGTCAATACACAAAATTTTACATTGCATTGGAAAATCCAAGAATTACAACATTGTTTTTAGTATCATTTCATAATGAATGTGGGTATACACATACACATACTATCATTAAAACTGATTATTGATTTTGGTATTGTAAAATGCAATAAGCTGAATTGTAACACGTCATGCACACAAGAATAAACACCCTTGCAACATAAGATTTATTTTTTTATTTTTATTTTCTAAAACTTTAGAATGGCATATGATCATTCATTTTCGTGACTTAAACTTTTAACAACAAAGTATTAAAATTTTAAATCAAATATACAATACCTTTGTGGGCATGAATATTCTGTTAAGCACATCTGAGAAAAATAGATTGACATAGGTTGAAATTTGCAACAAACAAACACTTCAATACAATGAAAAGTTTAATCACTATAATATTAAAAATTGCAGAGGTTGCATGAAAGATTTTTTAACAAATAAGCAATGCAAAAAATAAGTTAATTTTTTTTTACTTCATACCCAGATTTTGTACAATTAAGAAGCATAATTTTAGACATAGAATTGATTATATATCAAAATAGTTAAAAACAAAACAAAACAAAACAAAACAAATCCATCCTGCATAATTATATTTACAGTGATGTAAGGTGTTTAGAAGACTTTTAAAATGTTAAAGTTGTATCTATAAAAATACAAATGGACAAAAATACAAATATGAGAAAGCACTTCAATTTCAACACAGTAACATAATTATTTTTTTAAATAAATTTATTAATATATAAATGTTTTGACCACAATACTTGTCAAGTATATTGAATTACAAATACTGGAATATTGACTAGTGTATTAAAGAATAAAACACGGCTTTTGATTAGGAGTGCAAGTCGATTACATGTTTTCTATTGCTTTTTAATTCAAACTTTAATAAACCAAAAATCAAGACATACCAGATTTTTAATTTTTTAATTTTTTTTTTAAATCATGAAGACAGGCAAAAACCTATTTCCTGTTGCTAATGAAATCGAGACATTAGAGTTAGGTGAACGAAAAGGACGGTTTAGATTCATCCTTTGTAATTATGCATCAAGACATGCAAATGACTATAATATGTTTGAGCCAGTTTAAGCTTAAAATTATTCAAAAGCAAGGCATTATTCGTGGATGAAATTCTTTTTATTTTAAACATTGTTGTTATTTGAAATTGAATGTTTTCCGAAATTTAAATACTAAAAGATGAATGATGTAAGAACTTATAATATAAATGTTAAAACTTGAAAACAACATAGAAAAAAAATTTAAAGAAAATTAAGATTTTGTCTTTGTAATAGAATGGTATTTAGAACAATATTAATATTTACATACACAGAATGCTGGTTTTCCAATGCAGCAAAAGAAAAGTATTTCACACTATTTTTAGTTTTTATCTCCTAGTATTCTAATACTGATCACAATTACAGCATGTTCGGTTTGGTTTACTCAGCATCATCAAAGGTAATTTACAAAGTTCTCTTAAGCATAAGATGTAAGCATATACCCGGTCCCCAGCCCCTGATACTGCGTGACTCCATCCCCACCCAAGCAACACGCCCCCAAGCATCGCAAGGAATCGAATGAGGACCTGGACTGGCTATGCTGGGCAGATACCCTGACC